TTGAGATTTCAGCACAGCTTGTATCACATCAGTTATCCTGCTGCCACTTCAAGTGTATTCTCCCAACAATTGCAGAACAAGCTGCTCAGAACAGCATTTCTCTGTGAAAACAATCGCTGTGCAGATCTGGAGCTTGGAAAGGCAGATTTTATAGGATAGGGCTTGATAGGACTCTAAGAGGACAGTAAAAAAGCAAAACCCAGAGATGCCATGCTTGACCAGGGTACGTATGTTGGAAACCTTAATGCAGAAACACATTTCTAAGTCAGAATATGATATTATTACGTACAAGATGTCTAGCTGGTGTGGTTATTCTGCCCGCTGTCTTACATACTTCAGGCAAGGAAGATACTGCTAGGGAGTACGGAAGTCTGAAGGAGACAGAACTGGAAGAAGTCAGTAGCACTGAAATATCCATTGACTGCCAGACCAGCAGGGGACATGTGAGCTCAGTAAAGGACCAAGCAGTGTCCACATGCTCTGTTGCGCAAAGCATATCCTATCCCCGTCACAAAGATAGGTCCGTGCTACTGGCTTCAGCAAGATACCAATATTGTCATCTCTAAAGTGGCAGTGCAATGAGGCTTGCAGGGGTTGCTTCCACTCAGACAGACAGCACTGCCTGAAAAGCAGCAATGGGACACTGCTGGCACTTACCTATCACGGAGGCGCAAACCCCGCCGATAGGGACCTCACCTGTCTTCAATTTGCACGGGGCTGTTTAAGCTGGTGAAGAGCATGCTGCTGGGGCTCAAACAGCACCTGCCGTCGCTCTGTGCCCCCCTCCAGCTCACTGTGCATTCCAACCTGCTTCTTGGTCGTCATGAAGCACACCAACATTTTAACGCCGAATATCCCCACCCCTCAGCTAACACTCGCAAAACTGACCAACTGCACAAATCGCAAAAAATCCATAGCTTTAAAAGGTGTTGGAAAAGCTCTTTAACAAACCGCAGCCCTGAGCATCCATTGAAAGACTGTTCTAACCTGACAGCTCCTTGATAGATTGCACAAGAAATCCACATTCTCACTGGGTCTGCTTGATTGCATCCTAGAGGTTTGGCTTGAAGAAAGCTGTGCTCCTGAAGGTGACAGGCTGCAATTTGCAAGATCCAGTGGCAGAGACAGATCAACCAGCGCACTCTGTTCCCTTGATAAGTCCTTCTTCTCCCTCCTCAGCTTTGGTTCGTGCTCCTAACTATATCACATGGGCTGAGAGTAACCTTAAATATACACTTCTTTTTTAGCAAAGAAAAAAATCCTGTCAAAACTGACAGCATTCAGATAAACAGCAAAAAGCTCAATAGCTCCTCTCCCACAGAAGAACAAACAAAAGGAAACTAGCAGTTGAACAACCTGAGCCCCCAATTCACGTGAAACTGCTTTACCAGCAATGTCACAGAGCTCCGCATCAGAGGCGTTAGCAAGGGCTTCCTCCAGTTCCGGCTCCAGTGTCACACTTTCCAAAACAGGATCCATCGGCTTCTGCTTGGGGATCCAAGCTTTTCCTATAAATGCAAAGTGAGGTCACTCTCAGTATAGCCATAGCACCTGTTTCACAACTAGCCATGCAGATGCATTTCTGTGCGGTGAGATTTGCGGAGTGGAAAGGACAGAGCGGGCACAAGGACCTAGGGAAAAGTCAGAGGAGACACTGAATCCCCTCCCGTTAGCTCGATCCGAGCCCTGCTGCGATGTGAGCCAGAAGGCACCTGCCAGACACCTCCAACTGTGGAGCTGGACTCTTCCACTAGCGCAGAGGGCTGCGTCTACAAAATCCCAACAGTTATTTGTATGACAGGATGATTACTGTTCAATGCACGGTGCTCAGAAAGTCATGCACGGCCTGACCCTGCGGGACTTCACTTCTCCAAAGGCTGCATGAAAGGGATGGAGGTTTGCCAGTGCTCACATGGACCATGAACCAGCACTGTGCAGCCTCGGCCCTGCCACTGAGGCAGCTCCTGCTGCTGACTCCACATGGATGGTGGTGGGGCAGATGGCACATTAGTTGAAATGGGGTGGAAAGGAGGTGGTGGAGGGGGTCTGGCAGCAGGCAGGGAGAGCAGTCGGTCGTCCAGCGAGCACTGGGAATGCGAGGAGGAGCCAGACTGGGGCAGCTGGCCTGGCTCAGCCCTGGTGCAGAGGACAGCGGGAAGGGAAGCAGAGGGCATGCCAGACAGAGACCCTCGTGCTCTATCTCCCGGATCAGCAACAGGCCAAGGAACGGGCCTTTTCCCTATAAGTCAGAGGTGCAAAGCAACAGGTACAGCTGGTAACGCCAAGCCGCCATCCCAGCCACTCGCTTGTGGCCTTTTCCAAACAGGGGCTGCCCACATGGACACGGGGCTGCGCAGCGAGCAAGGTGGCTCCAGCCCAGCTCTGAATGCAAGGGGCTCCCCAGCACTCCCCCATCCCATTGCCCAGAATGATCTCCGGGCATGCCACGACCCCCTCTCTGCCAGAACTGGTTGCGTCCCAGGGAGGCATGGGGCAGCGGATAGGGTTCATGGCACAGCATGGCTGCTCCCAGTTCCTCACTGCTCGCACCGCCAGCAGACGCGCAGGTCTCTCTGAAAGGGCCAGGTGTGAGATTTCACAACAGGGCACCTACCCGTGACCACACCTGCCACCAAAGAGAAGGAAGAAGCTCATGGTGTTTTAACACACGGCGGCAGGGAGCAGCCTGTCGGGTAAACCCAGCATGGCTGCAGGATGGAAGGAGTGTTACCCAGCAATGAAGGGGTTAAACCTTGTGTAAGAATTTCATGAGGGGTTTAGTAGGTGGTTTGCACATACCTAAGGAACATAAGATGATAAGCATCCCTGAAGCTGCTGGGAGTGATTAGAAGGGAGACTCATTATCAAAGAACTCTCTGCCCTTGAAGGGAACATCTCAGAGAACGTATAAAGTTTGTTATAATGTTTTTCTGAACTGTGAACGTGCACAGTAGTGACTTGGGGAAAAGATAATTCCGACGACGACTGACTTATGGACCACCTGCCCTAAACATACCCCAGACCCAAAAGAAAGGGGCAGAGGAAGAGAACTGAGCATGTCAAGTGATTTACACGTAAAGCGAGAGAAAATTAACCAGTTGTTGAAGAGAGTAACAATGACTACGTGAACACGTTCGTAGCGTATAATGAAGTTTCTGTCCAGGGCCCAGGTGTCTGTGCCAGGAGGAGACGTCCCCTGTGCACCTGGCGCCGCAATAAAGCAATGCCGCTTTCTACCACTGCAAACCGTGTCAGAGAGTTTCTCTCCAGATTTTCGGTGACAGGAGGAGGAGGGATCCCAGAGTGTTTCAGAGCAGTCCCCTCCCCTGAAACAGTCCAGGATCACTGCAGAGAGATAGCGAGTGCAAAGCTCTCGGCCTGGCACGCCAGCCAAGACTATTTTTGTCCCCTATCTGAAACCAGAGTCAGCAGCACCAAAGGGGAGAAACAAAGATCCTGCTGCTCAGGGATGTGCAGAAACAGAAGGGGCTAAATTTAGCATCAAGGAAGAAGCAACTGCACTCCGGGCTCCTCCAGGAGTACGAAATGGAGGCTGCTATAAACAGCCTTCTGCAAAACAGCCTGTCTCCTGCCTGCGCGCTGCCGCCCTGACAAAGAGAGCAGGAATCTGCCTCCTGGGGCACAGCTGCTCTCGCAAAAATAGGCAGCCTGTCATGTGTGCCTGCACAGCCAGGCGCTTTCTGGGTACTCCACAGCAAAATGTCCAGGGAGGGCTGGCCCCCTCAGCGCTGGCTTGGTGTGGAGACCCGGAGCCATTGTCCCAGCGGACAAACTGTACGCACCATCTGGTCAGTTCGGCAGGGAACAGGAAAAGCATGGTGAACTTAATTCTGCCATCACACAGTAACTCCTTCTGACATCTCAGTGTCAGCAAAACTTCTGGGGTTTCGTTTTAGAGAGCTTCCTACCTCAGTCATGCTTTATTACAGGTTTGAACTTTAAATTAAATGGTGCATGCAAACACAGCATTATATATCATACCAGAGCACGCATGCACACACAAACTCCTACTCTGTATAGCAGCACAGCCAGAGAGAGCACCTCCCGTGGCAAACTAGTAAATCACCCTCCAAAGTGCAAACATGGTGATTTATTTCCAGCACTGCCACAACTGTAAGTATGTAATTTACCGTCTCTGGCTCACAGTCAATGTAAGCAGTGTCTTCACTCAATAGCGTGAAGTGAAAACATGCTTCATGTGTTTGAGATCACCTCAGACTGAAGTATGATTATCTCAGAACAGAAGCTGAAGACTCAAAGCACCTGAAATACCTGCGTCTCCTGCAGGGCACTGCTATAATCTGCTGGGCTAGCCAGGCAGGTAGCCAGCGCCGGGCCAGAGTACGTTTGAAGTTGCTAAACCACTCTTCCTGATAGCACTCAATTTACTCTTTCCATTTACTTCTTTCAAGGAGAAGTGGTGCGTTGTTTTTTTTTTTTTGCTAAAAACATCGCCTTAAGTTTTATTAAATGGGCAGATTTAACACAAAGTCTTTCTCAGAGAGGCACGTGGATCAGTAACGAAGCAGCTTTGAGAAAGACCTCAATTGCGAAACATTGCTCACATACACACGTTTTCATGCTCTTTTGACATGGGGCAACCAGTAGTATGAACAGCACACAACCAGATCTTCTGCTGCAGGGCAACTATGGTACTGAGCGAGACGCAACAGCCGTTGTGACACAACCAGAGGCTGAGGTTGTCAAAAGGCGATGAAGACTAGACAGGAACTGTTGGGTTTATCATGGCTGAGGGGAGCTGTGGAGTTTCTCTATGCCAAGACGAAGTTCAGAGTGTAGGGACGGAGCATAAAAGGCAATGGTGGAAGACAGAGCACAGCCTGCAGGGCTCACAGGAGGACAGGGCGGAGGAGGAACAAGAGAGGAGAAGCTGATGTCTTCCTCAGAGCTTGATACAGCTGCAGTGGGAGACAGAAAGAGGCTGCACCATGCTACACAGCCTCTGCCCATCACTTAACACACAGGTAGTACCCAAATCAGCAAGCGCATGGACCTCTTAGGCACATTCCAGTTTATTAGCCAGCCTGGGGTGCAGCTAGATAGCAGAGAGAGCAGATCCACCATCCCAATGGTGTCAAAATGAGGTCGTGCTTAGCAACACAGGTCAGAGACAACCCTCTGCTGTGCACCACTATGCTTTCAGCACGACGCACTCAGCGTGGCAAAGGATGACCATACCTCTCTTTTCACCAGTGAAAGGAACCAAGTCTTCTCTGTCCTTAACGTCCTTCGCCTGCTTTTCTAGGTGGGCCATGAGTTCCTCCCTTTTGAATGGGCCAGTTGGTGGTTTCTGTGTCTGATCCCGCTGCCTGAGCCCAGCCGGCAGCAACGCATTCTAGGTATGGAGGGGAGAAACACAGGTTATCTCTGCAGGCCACGATCCCCACCCATCAAGCACTCTCCCCTCTCCACTTTCCTCAGAGCACTCACTGTCTTTCTTCCACATTGTTGGACAATTTGCGTCTCCTTGCATCAAAGGTTATCTCCATCCAACCCCACTGATTCCCACACGTGATGCTCCTTCCCCTCGCCAGTTTCAAATGCTGGCTCCACTACAAGATCTCCATGCTGCTGAGTGGATGTTTCACTACAACAGCAGCTCCAGCCCTTTCTCCAGGGGCTCTCCTGCTCCTCCTAGCCTCTTCCCACACCCTCAACCTTTCTGCTGCCTCTTCACAACAGTCGCAGCACCAGAACCAAGCTGCTACTCTCAGTCGTTCTTCTCCTCCCTCTATGTGTCTGTCCAAGTGCCTGCACACCCCATGTGCCCCAACAGGAATCAGTTCAGGGAAATCCCATAGTCTTTCACAGAGCAGACTGGAGGGCCATGGTGGTCTCTTCTGCCTTTCCTGATCCACCAGAAAACTACAGGCAGGGTCTCGCAGAGAAGGTCGCTCCATTGCAGAACAAAACCCCTGCAGACCTCAGCCCTTTTTCAAACTGCCTCCTTGTTATTTGGTCACATTAGCCACCACGGGAAGTTGCTTTGTGCCTGACACATACGGCACGTAAGCACCTGCTTATATTTAAATATAGAACAGCCCTAATGCAGTAAGTAAGACTATTCCCATACTTGACACTAAGCATGTTCTTTAAAGCTTTGCTGGATAGAAGTCAACATTTACTTTTTAAGACATCCAAGGTGATTTTGAACAACATGCTGATTTTTTCCATGCCCGCCTAATAAAAGTAATTCATTATAATTTAAATCTGTATCGGTGAAAAGCCTGGGAAGGAAAATGACTAATAGGAAGCAATTAGACTCTGGTAACCTTGGAGGGCAATGGAGGAGAACTGTGCTAACGCACAAGCAGGGGGGCATAGGAAACAGCTTGCCTCCTCAGGCTTCACGCTGTGAAAGGTGACCGCGCCATCTTCATGCTTCAACTTCTGTACTCAGGCTACATCTATACTGACAGACGTTGGTGATTATTTTACCTTTCTGCATCTTTCGCAGAACGCTGCCTGACTCTCTGTCTTCTGAGGCAGCTGTAACCAGCCCATCAGCCCATACGCTTAATCCCAGGAGCTAGCCTGCCATCTCTTAATTATTTTCCTCTCTTGCAACTAAAACCTCTCTTGATGATGCAATCTACACCGCCCATAATTTCAACCCGAAACACTAACTGCATGTTGCAGGAACAATTTCTCACTTGGCAGTGCCCAGCCTCATCATCTAATGTTGCCGTAACCCAGAGGCCTGCCAGTTGGCTCTGCACATCCCCTGCTAGGGACACAGGACAACGTTGCCTCCAAAAAGCTTTCACTGCTTGGCACCAGCAGGTCCAGAGTTCACATATGCGCAGCTCCTACTGATGTTAGCAGGTTGCTAAAAAGCAACCGTCCCATTTTGCAAGACTCAAGGGTTTGGATTTATGCCTAAACGGAGGAAAACACAGACCATTTGAAGTTCACTACCAAAAGACACCCAAACAACCCACAAAAACCAAAACATTCACTCCAAGGTGGCCTGATCACAAACAGAAATCCAGTTTGCCCAGGTTTACTGCCCTGCGCCAGCACTGGCTCATATCAGTGCTGGAAATCACAGCGTGCGTCACACCGGAGCGTGCACACCGGGGCAAGTGCAAGGGAATATCACAGAAACAAAGTCCCACGTGTAGCCCATGCACGCGATGGCAAAACTGCTTCTGTCCATCTGCGGCCAGTCTCTTCCATCCTCACACTGAGTACGGGCTCTGCAAAGGGATCCCACTTAGATACAGATCACTAATGCAGTCCATTCCCCCACAGCTACTGAGATTTACTACCTAGCAAATCTCGTGTAAAAGTGACTTACATCAGGATCCAGCTCTTCCAGTTCATTCTCTAACTTCCTGAGCTCCTCCTCCGTCAGAGCACCAAGGATCTTGTCTTCATCCAGGTCTCGGTATTTTTCTAGCTCTTTTCTGTAAGACATCTTGGCGGAGTCTCGTGAATCTCACTGTTATGCCAAAACAGGACCTGAAACAAGCCAAAAAAAGCGTTAACACTGAATATATGAAACTTGACACTGCAGCCCGGCTGGTCGGGGAATGCTGAATACCACAGAGTCGCAAAAGATTTATGCGTAAAGCATGGCTGACTTCAAAGCCAGGTCAGGTTGCTCAGGGTTCCCTGTCCATATCCTACATGCAAGTAGCAGCCGATGGTCATGAGAGTGGTGCAACTTCAGTAGCAGATTGCCCCATCACGGACTTACAGGGCAGCACCAAGGAAGTCGTTAGTACAGGACATTGCTTGGAGAAGAATATCCAAGCGAAGCTAGATGTTAAGGAAGTGTCCTAGGCGTTTATTTCCTTGAAGGACAACAAACCACATATCATGAAGCCTGCAGCTCTCATGCCCTTACGAGCCCCCAGTAACACCTCCCTGCACATGGCACTCCAGATCACGCTGTCACCAGGTGGGAAAACAGATTTGTAGCATCACTGAGTACCTCTGAGCCCCGCAAACCTCCACGAGGCTACACTACGCAGCACTCCTTCCTGTGTTTTAAAGCCACAAGGTCAGGAAGATCAGGAAGTATTATCTGCTGGCGTTCTGGAGGCTGCCAGCTAAACGGGCTGTGTAGTGACCCACCTTCCCTGAGACAACACGTGTTTGCACTGCTGGAAGCTAAGCAGCTGACCTGAGTGCTACTGCACGTCCAAACCAACCCTTCAAGAGAAGTGGGAGTAACATACTAACTGACCTATCCGGATAATCCCTGCTGACCCAGAGGTTTGTCCCATGTCTCCCGATAAAAAACGTCATACACAATCACATGCACATAACTGGACCTATGCCAGCTCTAAAAGACTATAGTAGATGTTCTACAAAGGTCAACTTGTTTAACATAAGCAGGTGGGTTAAAAATACACTCGCTATGACAAACAAGAGCGTATCCAGCTCTGCTTTTTTGCTGAGAGTTTCCTTCTGTTCCACAGCACTGTTTGCATTAAATATGTTTTTTGGGCTCAATTTTTGTGGAGAATGTTGAACTCTAGATAATTTAAAGTGATTTTTCCTACAGTTTAAATAAAGTTTTGCTATTCTCTCGAGTAGCATTTACATTAAAATAGCAGAGAGGCCTGTGCGTTTTTCAAGGAGCCAAACATCTTTTGAGTTTCTACAAATGGCTTCTTTTCAGCTTCTGTGGAGTTTCAGAGTCCTACCCCAAGTCACGTCTCTCCAGCTTTGCTCATCCTCTCAGGGCAGATCATGCTCTTATGATTGCTCTCATTAGCAGAGAAGTCTCTTTATACAATTTACAACGCAGCTGCTGTTCCAGATAGGAAAATTATCTTTAGCTTGGTCACAAAAGGGAACATTAACACACACATGGCTCAACAGCAAGCCCTTAAATTTAGAGCCGTCATCTGGTCCGACGTTCAGTTTCCTGCT